CAATACTGTGGCGGTACCGACACACTTTTACAAAATCATTGTGGGTGAAACGGCTGATCATCAGTTCGATATGGAAGCGTATGTAATGCCTAACAAAGTTATCAGTGATGACACGCCACTGCAGGTGTTCCAAGTGCCGCCAGAGACGGTAGAACGTGCGGCGGGACTGCTATTCTTCGATCAAATTAACCGAAAGCAACTAAAACGTATCAACGGCAAAAAAGTGTAGAGAAAATAGGCCCAGCAGGGAAAGTGCAATTACCGAGTTTAAAGTTCAAACCGATGGTACCCAAATTTATTCCCATTGTTAGCAAAATAAGCTCCAAATGTTCCTTTGTATATTTCAATTATGTATTTAATAATTAAATGAAACGTTAAGATTTAATTTGTTCATTATTTTAGTACTTTATTAATCAAGCAAACAAATTTTAATGAATAAGCAGTGAACGCACACTTCTAAAAGAATGAATTATAGTGATTATTTTTTATAAAAGTAGGACAGACATGCGGTCGATGACAAAAAGAAGAGATGAGGCGGTGATGCGTTACGGTTTACGATTTTATCTATTAATGCTGTTCGTATTTATTTTCACATTTACTGTGAGTCCCTGGAGCGCACATCATCAATCTTAAGTATCATCTTCACCAATTGTGTGGCCAATAGGATCTGTTGCTTCTTGGAATGCAGCGATTCGACAACATTGTGGTTTTTCATATCAGAGTCCCCGGAGAGCATGCAATCAACTCCCAAGCTGGGACATTTCTCAGCAACTTGGCGGGCCTTTAACTCCGACAAGGTTTCGATAGGGTGCAAACCGCTATTTTCGGCTAAGGCCAGAGGTATATTCTCCAAAGCCACTGAGAAGGCACGGAAAGCATATTGTTCCAAAGTTGACAATTGATCGGCTTCCTTAGCAACAGCCAGAGAGCAACTGATTTCAGCTGCACCACCACCATATACAATTCGGTTATCCTGCAAAAAATAAAAGTGTTATAGCAAATCTATAATTTGACGGTTGTTTGTTATTCACCTTTATAAGCGATCGTACCACGCATAAAGCATCGTGAATAGAACGTTTCGCTTCGGCTATAATCATGGCATTACCACCGCGTAGGAAAATAGTAACAGCCTTGGAATTCTTACACTCCTCAATGACTAACATTTTATCTTTGGAAGTACCAAATGCTGCAAAGAAATTTTGCGTTATTAGTTAGGCTAGTAATAAGCGAAAGTGCTTACTTACATAGTTCACGCACTAATCCAGCGCTGCCCAACTTGTCGGGAGTTAACTCCTCGAAGCGTGGCACAATTCTGCCACCAGTAGCAATAGCAATTAATTCAATCTCGGGTCCACCCACCCAACGTACAGCAGGCAGTTCGTTTTGGAGCAATAAATGATTAGCTTCGTCATCGAAACCCCACTGGCAAATGGCCAAGGTAGCACCAGCATCTTTAACTTGCTTGATCATCAAAGCGAATTTCTCCTGCTCATATTCGCGCAAAGCACGGTAGTCCTCGGCCGAAGTGACATCCAACTTATGCTTGGTCTTGGGCTTTGGTGGTTCGAATGGGCAAGTGAGAATAGCAAGCTTTACATCTTTCAGCACTTTAGGCATTTGTGCATGACTCATGGTCTTGTCGATCACCACACCTTTCACCAGCATTGAATCTTCCATGCGACCACCAACCTTAGTCTCAATTTTAATTAGTTCAAAGTTGACATCTTTCTTCTCAATATCGGCCACATTCAACACAGCATCGACGGCCATGGTTGCCATTTGCAAATGACATTTATTCACGATCTTGCTGCCAAGTGTGGTCATAGCAATTTTCACCAAGGGTTCCTTGTGCTTCGGGTCGATCGGGAAGGGCTCTGCAATAGCCTCCAATTGCTTTACAGCGCATTGAGCAGCCAATTCGAATCCGTCAGCAATACGAATGGGGTGAATACCACGATCGATGAGACTCTCAGCCTGCTCAAGCAAAGCGCCTGCCAAAACAACGACACCGGTTGTGCCATCACCGATTTCGTCATCCTGTGATTGTGACAGTTGCACCATTAGCTTGGCAATCTCGTGATCGACTTCCATTAACTTCAAAATGGTAGCACCATCATTTGTAACTGTAACATCGCCATCAGAGCTAACCATAATCTTATCCAAACCTTTGGGACCGAGCGAGGTTTTCAGGGTAGAGGCAATTTGACGTGCTGCCAAGATGTGGCTCTGTAATGTAAATATTTATAAGAACTGTCGCAGGTCATACGAAAATGTTGGTGACGAAATTAGTTTGGTATAGTTTCTTCATTAAAATTCCTTCGCCAGTGAGTCACAACAAAGAGCTGTGTCTTTAACCTCACTTGTGCATATAAACATGAACACCGAGTGACGTCATAAGGGCGCACCTGAGATGGTTTCATGTAATATAAAACGATTTAAAAACAAAACAATAGAACCTTAATATCGAAATTAACATTTTAAATTGACCTCAATATTTTAAAGTTAACTTATGCAAATATCTCTTATATTTTTGTTAAAAAAGATGATTTACAAACGCAGCTGTGTCCGTCTGTAAAAATCTGGCACGTACAATAGAGCACCACCCAAAAGATCAGATCATTTTTAAGAAAATATATTTAATGTACAAAATTAAGCTTATTTATAAATATTTTCTCATAGTGAAACCGTGATATCAAACCTTGATAGCATCGTTGCCCGTGATGCGCCTTTCGCGTTCCTGTTCTCGCAAAATTATAAAAGGACGACCATATTCGTCGAAGGCGAATGTACCCGGGAAGGCGGACATTTTCCGTTGACAGTTAAGGCTCTAGTTCTTTGGATTCAAGCGGATTTATTTTCGCACAAATTTCGGACGCTGTGAAACAAAAATCCAAAAAGTTAAAGAAGGCGAAAATCCTCACAAGACTTCACGAACCGGCCGAACAAACGTCAAAATTATCAACTGTCATACTTCGCATATTTTCAGTATGGCAACAACGAGTTCTAGCAGGGTTGTATTCGGATTGGTGTACCTAATGCCCCTTTCACACAGTCAAGTCTTTCTAAGAATGATAGAATACAAGCAAGGCGAATTTATACAAGGTGGTGTTACTTGCGAATTTAGATTTTCGCCGCGGTCCTTCCTACAGGTCTATTCTGCGCTGGTAACATAAATTTTGTAACCGGTAATTAAAGTGTCTGTCAATTTTTAAACCTTTTTCGCATTCTGTGCTCTCTTGTAACCGGTAAATTTGGTTACAATCTTATAAGCTGGTAACAAAATATTGCCCCGTGAAATATGCAATACAGGAATTTCCACAAATCTTCATAGCTGAATTGCTAAATATTTTTACTGCATTACCAACGTACCTAGAATTGCGGTGACAAGAAGTGGTAACATTTTTTGGTAATAAAATTTTCCGGTCACAAAATCTTCGGTAACGTGCAGAATAGACCTGTTAATGTCAAAATGGTGTGTTTGTTGTAATCGCCTTGTTTACAACGATATCATTGGTTCTGGTATTATACCGAATCAAAGAACGTGGATAACAAGAAGGGACAACTCGTTATAATTGTAGCGAAAGTGCGCAACAGGGGCGTGCCCTAGTGCGTTTTTTGATTGGATGAAAAGAGAAGGCATTCCCCTGTTGCGCACATTCGCCACAATTATAACGAGTTGTCCCTTCCAAAGAACGTGTCCCTTCTTGTTATCCACGTTCTTTGATACCGCTAACTCAAAGAATGATAGAATACAAAATTGCGCCAATCCAGCTGACAGCAACTGGGCGTGACGTCACATTATTATGAGAATGAGATTGTAAAGAATAATTTTGGAGAAGAAGATGAGCAAGCGAACAAATGGTGCGAAATAGTGATGTAAATGTCATGTCAGCTGACACGTTTTCCGTTTTTAAGTCCGTGGGTAACTGCGCTTTCTGCAAAACTTTTATAAATAACTAAACAAACACGGCACTTTTGCTAATTTCTGCTTAACAATTTCTTAATAGCAGTACTTGTGATAATTACCTGTAAGGAAACAAAGCTAATAATTGAACTGTTTGGCCTGAATCCGCCGCAAAGGGTGGCAACATACATCGTACTTGATGCAAACACATGTGAAAACAATAACAAAAACCAGCAAAACAAAAAACATCGAGAACAAGAAACACGAAAAAGCAAATACGAAAACAAAGAAGGAAAGGAAATCGTGAAAAGAATCTGGAATGCACTACCGGAAATCACTGGAATGCACTACCGAAAGTATAGGGAGATAACCCACGGGGAATGTGGAATCTGGAATGCACTACCGGAAGTATAGGGTGGGCATTTGGTCCCAAACCGGTATTGGTCCCATATAATATCCCACTCCATGTAACTGTAATTCTATTTCCAATTAATTAAAAGAAAAAAGGAAAACGGAAACGGAACGCGCCAGGTATTAAAATTATTAATTAAAAATTAAAAAACGTAACGTTTAAACGTTAAGAAACTTGCAAGGTAGGCAGTCGAGATTTGTAAACAAAATTGTGATTATATACTATTATTATTATATATTATATAGTTAAATTATATAGCTATAGTTGCTAGTTGCTTAAAAATGAGCCGTGAGCGAAAGTGTCGTGTACAAAATTGCATTAACGATAGCGAGAGGCGGTTTTTTTCGTTCGCCAAGGACGCAAGTGAGGTGGCCAAATGGAGGAAGAATCTCCGCATCAAGGATAATGATAATCTTTCGCCGCACAACTCCTTTGTGTGTGTGGATCATTTCGAGTTGTCCGACGTTGGTCGGATGTTTCTAAGACCAGGTGCTATCCCAACACTTAAATTGGGTGAGTATGTTATAATTGTTTATGGAAATATCATTGCTGGATAATCAAGTGTGTAAAAAGTAAAAAATATTTCTTCTTTCTTGTCTTTACTTGTTCTGTCTGGTATTAGTTTTCAGCTTTCAGCATCGCTTATTTAACATACATAACACACATCCATCATGTTTAAATTTGTGCAAAATTGTCCAAAATTAAATCCATTAAGTCTATGCAAGTACACATACACTGCCGGAACAAAGTATTTGGCACAGCAAATCTTTCACAATATATGCAACAATTTGTATTCTAATATTTTTCCGCCAATTTTGTGTAAAAATATGGTTCATTCTGTAACAAAAAACATAAAAATATAATTCCTAAACTTTGTTCAAAACTCGCGAAAATTCAACAAATTTTCATGCAAATTTTCAACTTTTTAATCAGATTTTTTACAATTTTTTGGGGCATGCAGATTTGTGGCTCAATCAATTTTATTGTAATAAAGTAAAAGTTTTAAGTAGCTAGGGATCACCGTTGATTTTTGGGATTTTTTTTCACGCAGTCTCTTCCATACAAACAATTCAAAAATACTTTATATGGAGACAATGCAAAACACCTTCAACACAAAAAAATCTCAAAAATCAGTGCGATTTTTGACTAACTCCAAACTTGCATTTTTTTTTACTAGAATTTAATGGGCTGCAAAACTGCGTACTCAAAAAATTCTAAAAAATCTGATTAATAATTTTAAAATTTGCATTAAAATTTGCTGAATTTTCGCGAATGAACCATATTTTTATACAAAATTGGCGGAAAAATATTAGAATACAAATTGTTGCATACATTGTGAAAAATTTGCTGTGCCAATACTTTGTTCCGGCAATGTATGTAGACCGTAGACCGTTCAATTTTAGTATTTTGCAGATTAAAATCTATTTTTATATAAAAAAATTATTCCACAAAAAAAAAATAAAAAATAAAAATAAAACAATAAATCCAAGTTCCAGTAAAATTTAAAAAATGCCTGCACTTGTTAACTTCAAGTTGATTTCGAGTTTTATCCCCGCAAACATATTCTGAGCGTTCAGAATATATGAGTCCGAAAGGAGTCCTAGGTAGGTAAGAAATATGAGTTTCAAAAACAAAAAACTTTTTACTCTTATATGAATCTTTTCGGAGTCTATATGAGCCAGCACTTTGTGCCAATGTAAAAACAATAAAGACTCGAAATTTATAATTTATATCTAAACTTGTTTATACAGATATGAAAAATAATTAGGAAGCAAAAAATTTACAAAATTTAGCTGCAGCAGCTGCTATTACATGAATGTTGCAGTATACATATATATTTATATATATTTTTATGAAAGATTAGGGAAAAAATTAAAATTGTTTGCGAAATTCACGAAAACAGACCCATTTGTATAGCGGCACATACATAAATAAGCGAAATGTTTATAGCTAAGAGCTAAGATGAAAACTGTGCACAAGAAAATTAACAAACACAACTTGAGTTGGAGTTTACTTACATAGGGTAATTTGGTCGGGCAACACATGAAGCACCTAACAAATTCTTTAAATTTGCGTGCGTCTATAATCTTTCAGAACTTTAGACTCAATCGTATCAAAACTGAAAATAAATAGCTGAAGTTTTGTATCTGCATAAAGAAAAAACAGTGTTGCCCTACAAAACCACTAAACTATGAAGCGGCCTTAAGCTCGCACTGAAAAACTGGTCAGAAGTTTAAACTTAGTTTAAATTTAAACTGAGTTTAACTAAACTTCGTTTAAACTGAGTTTAAACCAGCACTGAAAAACTGGCCCTAAGAGTCGAAGAATAAGGCCAATAAGACTCACAGATCATTCATGGGGCATATTCATAGTTAAAATAAAGTCGACACTAAGTTAGTTATAACGTTTTGACATAATTTTCAATGGAATATCTGTGAAAAAGCTGCAACTAACTTTCTTCTTATCTGGGGCTGAAAAACTTTAACTTTAAGAGTCGACTTTATTTCGTCTACGAATATACCCCAATAGTTTTGGAGTCAAAAAATGAAAATGCATTTCCCACGCATATGTACATACTCCATTAATTGATAACGTTTTTACATGCATACATATGTATATGGCTATATTCTTAAAGCATTAATGCAAAGCATCAGTCTCTTTTATTTCTAAAGTATGACTCATATCAATATCCAATATGCGCAACCATGACGAAATACCAATTTTTAATAAAGTTTCGCAAATTCTATACTTTTATCTCTTATGGTTGAGAAATAAAAGACACATGCATATAAATGCACATATGTATGTACAACTCACTGCAGCATACATATACTACGTTTATGCGTAGGCAAATTCACGAAACCATTTCATGAATTTGGCCTAAAATTGGCTGCATAAACACAATATCATGAATTCAACTATACACGAAAATTAACCATGAATTTGATCACCATTTCATGAAATCGTGAAGTGGAAGTCCGTACTAAGGTTATGAAGTTTTTAGATCAAAAGCATAACCATGACTTAAAACACTGTAATATTAAAGAAATTCAAATAGAAGAAATTCGAATGGACTAAAACCAATTTAAATATAACATGGACCATTTCCTGGTACTAACGCCATATGCAAATTAAAATAAATGCTAAAAAACCACGACCCTTCTGCATAAACGTAGTATTAATACATATGCACATAATTACACGCGTTTTTCCATATAATGCATATCAAACTTTTTCAATTGGAAATTTACCATGACAGCTGCTCCTGCATATTGCATATTTAGTTAGATGTGTTTTACATGGAAGATATTGGTTTATTCATGTAAAAATTATCCAGTAACAAACGCTTTTTATACTGACACATAAAGCGCTTTGATTTTACAGTTAATCACAGTGAACTGGGTCAAAGCGCTTTATGTGTCGGTATAAACAAGGTAACAATTGAGGTAATTCACTGTCAAAATTTATATACATATTTTATGATTAGGGTATGATGGCATTCCGCCGTATGCCTGCACCACGTCGATGAAAATGCGGATTTGCTGTGTGACGGGATGCGTGTCTGACGGCCAATCTGTTTTGCACGCGTTCCCTACAAGCCGAAATTACCAAAATAGTTGGGCCGAGGCGTGCAACGTGACACCATCAAACACTGGAAATTTATTTGTCTGTCAACGCCATTTTGAGCCTCACTTTGTAATGAATTCTAAGCTTTTAAAAGGGGCTTTTCCCTCACTAAATTTAGAGCCAGTAACAACATCTAGGAGTCGCTCACCCAGTATTGTTTCTGTACGTTCAAGAGCAAATTCAAATGAATGTTTAAAAGAATTTATCGAAATTAGGCATCCAAACATCTGCGGCGTAGACTTTGACTCCACAACCAGCGGCGAACGATTTGCTCAGGCTTCTGGTAAAAATCAGAGCAACGAGGCTAATTTAAATAAAAAAAATAATAGATTTAGAAGAAGAAATACAAAAACTTCAAGAATTCTACGCTCGGGCAATTGTACCTGATGCTACTGCTAGTAGCAACGCTATTAATTTTGCGAAAATGATCGTGAATAGTAACCAAGGTTCTTACAGTGAGGACGAAAAGGCCTTGGCGCTAAGTATTGATTATATATCTACAAAAACGTATTCTTTTATGCGTGACGATTTGGGTTTTGCTTTACCAGATCGAACATCTCTTTTGCAATGGCGCCCCGTTAGTCATGTCGATCCGGGGTTAGATGCAAATGTCCTTGAAAACTTGCGCCAACTTGTTCGAAATAAGTCCATAACCGAACGCCTCTGCGTTTTAATTTTCGACGCAATATGCATAAAACCAGATCTCAGGTACAACCAAACTATTGACACAATTGATGGGTTTGTAGATCATGGGAAAGACAAACGCAAGAATGTAATCGCAAATAGTGCTTATTTCTTCATTGTGAAAGGTCTACTTTCGGAATGGAAATATGTATTTTCGTACTATATTTCGAAGAACGGTTTACGCGAAGACTTGGAAAATATTTTACTTCAAAATATAGACGCATTAAAGAAAATCGGGTTGAATGTGAAAGCGGTCGTTTGTGACCAAGCTCCCAACCATATTGGTTTATTCAATCGTTTCAAAATTTGTGAAGGTCGAACATATTTTATTTATGATAACATAAAAATATTTTGCATGTATGACTATTGCCATTTAATAAAAAGAATTCGATATACTATAGTAAAAGATGATATTCAAACATCCGACGGCATTGCGAGCATTGCAGTAATCAGGAAATTGTTCGAGATAGATCAATTAAACAGTAATTTTAAAATTTGTCCGAAATTAACTATGACTCATTTATTAACAGCACCTTATCAATTCAGCGTTTCACTTGCAACTCAATTACTGAGCAATTCGGTAGCTGCTGGGATCGAAATGGCCTACAGCCAAAATTTACTAGGCATCGATGAGAACGTACAAGAATGCGCCAAGCCTACGCAGATGTTTGTGAAAAAGATGAACGACCTTTTTGATGAGCTAAACTGCGAAAATCCATTGATGTGTCCAATAAAACGGGGAGACACGGGGAAAATCTAAAGGCTAGATACACATTTGGAATTTTTGCGGTCAATGACGCTCAATGGCACCCGAATAAAATATAGTGAACGCTTAGGTATAACAATAAAGTCCATGCAAATGCTTTCGAAAGAGCTCTTTGCCCAGCACCAAAGTGTACAGCAAATTTTTCTAAGTAAATTTTGTCAAGACGACTTAGAAAACTATTTTATTAGAGAAAGAGCTAGCCGAGAGACAAGTACCAATGTTACAGCTCACGAAATCCGATATATAGCTGCTAAATCAATTTCAATTAATATTTTGCGTGAAAGATTGGTTAATAAAGGGGTAGATTGCGATGAAGACGATATAAATGTAGTAAATAATTTAAACCCCGCAGATCGTTATTTTGAAGAACGGGAAACGTTAAATGAGAAACTCGTCATTGAAGAATTAGAAATTCCAGTCGAGAAAAATGCTGACGTTCAGGTGCAGCGGTATTTGACTGGTTATGCGATTGACCAGCTTAAATGCGAAAAGTGCGCCAGCATCTTGATGAAGGCACATGGTGATTTATTACTAGACTCAGAAGCCCTGATAAAAGCCGCAAAAATCTTTAGGGACGACTGCAGTTTGAAAAGTGTCAATCCTCAAGACTCCGTTTTCGAGGTGTGCCGACATCAGATGGTGTGGTACCGTCAACTCTTCGCAAAATACGCTCATTTAACGGATCTCAGATCTCGAATGTTGTCAGCTATCATAGAAAAAACCGATCAAGTTTTTCCACTGTGGTTCCTGGAAGCTGGCGACTGTTTAAACCATCGCTTAGAACTTGTAGAAATTTTGATAACCAATCTTTTATTTAAAAACGCAAATTCGGCGTTGACGGAGGAAGTTGAAAGTCAGAGGGCGGGATAACATTTTGTTCGATCTTCATTGTCGGTGCGAAATAGTGATGTAAATGTCATGTCAGCTGACACGTTTTCCATTTTTAAGTCCGTGGGTAACTGCGCTCTCTGCAAAACTTTTATAAATAACTAAACAAACACGGCACTTTTGCTAATTTTTGCTTAACAATTTCTTAATAGCAGTACTTGTGATAATTACCTGTAAGGAAACAAAGCTAATAATTGAACTGTTTGGTTTGAAATCCGCCGCAAAGGGTGGCAACATACATCGCACTCGATGGAAACACATGTGAAAACAATAACAAAAACCAGCAAAACAAAAAACATCGAGAACAAGAAACACGAAAAAGCAGTAACGAAAACAAAGAAGGAAAGGAAATCGTGAAAAATTTCGGGAAATTCCGTTCTCCTCGTATTCGCCGTTTTCCTCGTCATTTCACTTTGTTTTTGTTTATTTTCTTGTCGACACGCTATTCAAATCGACCCGACTCAATGATGGCGGAGTTCCATCGACTGCCTGACCAAAAATACACCGAAGCTGAGTATCTTTTCCAGGTAGGTGAAGCAGCAGTATTTTGGCCTCCAACGTCAAAAAATTTTCTAGTCACATTTGTAACACAATTTCTACCTTGTGTATCTACTTTTCAACCATTTTCTTTTCACGCCCTTACCGATTACGCCGGAATTGATGTTTTTTGGTGCTTGGTGCTGCCTCTGTTACTGCTTTTGGCATGCGATCAGCAGACAATCGAAATGGCCAAATCGGATGAAGAATACGACGTGGAACTTTGCTCTACGCCACCACCGCAAACGGGTGAAATGTTTGACCTGGAGTTGGTGCCGCAAGAGCCTAGTATTTTTTCGTGGAAGGTTGTGAAACGACGCCAACGGCCGCATCGCCGTTACACTGTATCGCACGGCGCACCACCGGCGCCGCCGTCCACGCCCACATCACTGACGGCCAATAATACGCCTGCGCCCTCACCCACCGCCTCTAGCAATCTCAACGTCAATGGCAGCGCCGACGATGAGCCACTGAACAGTCTCCTCTACATTCTCGATTACGCACCCAAGTACAAAAAGAAACTCAAGGAGCAGCAACGCACCGATGCTGAGCTGGCAGAGCTCTTCAATGTCGTTACGATAACTAGTAGCGGAGTGGGTGGTAGTGGCGGCGTCAACGGTTATGCGAGCAATTGCGGCACTCTGAATGATGGAGCATCAACAAAGTTGCCGCCTGAACGTGGCATCAGCGCAAATTCCCGTGTGATACGAAAACACGATGCCGACACTAAAATTTTCAAAATCCATCGGAACCCGAAAGAATTTTTTCGGGAACCGGTCGATGAAGAGGACTCCGTGTCCGCTCCTGAATATGATGATGCAGAGGAAAAGAAGGCCCGATTTCCACGATTGAGGCACTACAAATATTCCTCAATTCGCAATCGTCTATTAAGAACTAAGCGTCAAAGGCGCTTCGAACGCTTTGAGCATCAAGAGCGCATGGACGCTATGGTGGACAATTTCGATGCCGCCATGAAAATGAATGATACCTAAATAATAAGCAACACTTGTGGCCGAACCATGCAAACTGGCACTGATTTAAGGAAGATTACGACAAAAAATTAGAATATGGACGAAACGACTACGACGACGATGCAGACGTCGGCCTTCCAAATGGGTCTCAATGTGATGAATATGAATTTCTTCTGCTAAATTATAATTACATAATTAATGAACTAAAAATTAATTTGTTCATTGAACTTTTTGCGTACATTTAACTTTAAACGTTACAAATAGATTCTTTCTCCTTTTTGTATCTTCTTTTAACAAAAGAAAAAGAAGCAAAACTTAGTATAAAATTATACAAAAACTGAATATAATTGTATTGTAAACTATTGTAAAAGAGGCGCCCAAGTGCGTCCGTGTGAGCAGTCATGCGTGTTGTACACTTGCCGCCTGCTAATTGCCGCAAGCCGGGTTTTGCATGTGCTTGTGGTATGATGACGGTTCCGTGACGCAGACGCACTGGCGCACTAGGCATTAGCGGCTATTTGCGTCGCAATACTCTATGTGTGAAATGTTTGTTTACTTCTCTCTTATCATTTTGCGTTGTAAATGTGTGAGTAGCGAACACGAGGAGCGCTGTGTTCCGTCAAACAAATAAATAAATACACAAAAATTAAAAAAAAACAAGTTTTAATAAAATGAAATGAAAACAACAGTAAGTAGCCATCAAGTTCTACATATTTGCAGAAGATATAGAAAAGAAAAGCGCAATTACAGCAACTGTGCGTCCCTTTTTTGTGCTTTGCGATTCACCACTGCCGAACAACCTCGGTTGTTGAAATGAATACGCTTCGCTTTGCTCATAAATAACTAGAAAAAAAAACATTGAATTGTATTTCTACTTTATACAAATGTATTATTCCCCTGATAATTTACCAAACAAAATAAGTCAGAGACTTGCTAATATTACAATCATACATACATCGCCAGGTGTATAAACAAGTATACAAACAAATATTTATATGTACATATGTGCATGCATATGTACACACTGTTTATGCTAATAAGTAGATAATCTAAAAGCTATGAGTAATGTCTACTAAAACAACTACATATGTGTATAGCAGAGAGCATAAAGGCGTATTTTTTTAAGTACACTCGCTTCATCTGCTAAAGCACTATTTTCAATTATGAAATAACGTATTTAGTTTTCGCTTTTGAAGAAGTTTTCTTTTAGATTCTGCTCAAGTCGTTCAGGATCGGTAACCGGCAGTCGGCAAACGCGGTCATGACATATGTAAACCGTAGTTTTACCATCGACCATTTTGAATTTCTGCTGAACGCGTTGATTATAAGTTTCGTCGGGATATTGTGGGTCAACATGCAATATAATCATGCCTGGTATGAAGAATTTTTGACACACCTCGACGAAGCGACGTGTAGTACTCGAGTCAGGGCCCACAACGGCGACTAAATCAAGACCATGTTCATGTAAAAGGAGCGCTGACATCATCGCCGGCAAGGTGTATCCAAAAGGATTAACATCAGCAAAGAATTCGAGTAGTTTATTGGACCGCTGACGATAGTTTTCATCATCTAAATAATGTGAGAGTAGTATGAGATTGCGTGCTGCAATGCTATTGCCACATGGTTCTGCGCCATCGTGATCTGAAAAAACAGCAAAAGCAGGAATAAAAACAATTTCGACTGGAATAATATTTGTATGTTTTCCAACCTTCCTTAAGGCGTACAATTACATTCGGTGAATTGGCCTCAGAGTAGAAGTAAGCGCCATGGGTATCATCCCAAAAGCGCTCATCCTGTATCTCTTGCAGCTCTCTAGCCCATTTCAGTACAGCACCATCCAATGAAGATTTATAGTAGTCCAACAAGCCGCTTATGAGAAAAGCGTAATCGTCTAGAAAGCCATAGATGCGTTGCGCCCTGCAATAGTTTATTTAAATTGGTAAAAGCTGAACCTTTGAAATTCGAACGCCACTTTACTTACGATACGCTCTCCAATGTTGTATCGTCTGTGCCAAGTCCATAGCAAGAGCGCAGCAGCACTTTCTTTTCCGGGTCGTACAAATGTTTGTGCATAAATTTATACAACTCATCGGCAGCTTTCATGTATTCATCACGCTTATGTCCACCACAATTCGCTAATTTGGACAAACCAGACAGCACTAATCCATTCCATGCACAAATGATTTTAGTATCCAAATGTGGCCGGGGTCGCTGATCGCGTATTTTATGCAACACTTCATTGGTGATAACCAGTAAACGGTCAAGTTGTTCCTCTGTTATGTCAAACTTATCACATGTTTCGCCGGTGGAACCACGCACGATGTGTATATTTTTTGCTGTGAGATGACCATGTGGATCACTGTTAGGCTCTACATTACCTGTTTGCCGCAGATCGTAGTGGAAGGCGTAAATTTCAAATATACGTTCCAAATCAATCTTTAATTCGGCATATAGCGCCGCATTTGCTTGCACCGCCTCTTTCACCTCCGTCGTAGTCCATGCGTAGAAAGCACCTTCTACCTTAGCACTGGCATCAGCGGTAGGCAAAGAATCTGCATCTTCGCCCGCAAAGAAACCACCTTCTGGATGGCGCAAATCCTTCATCAAGTAGCGAAAGATGCCATCAGCGTATTGCAAGTATATTTTGGTATTCGTCAATTTATATGCGTTTGCATATGCCGTCAGTAGTTGACCTTGATCGTAGAGCATTTTTTCAAAGTGAGGTACATGCCATACACGATCCACAGAGTAGCGCGCAAAACCACCGAAAACATGGTCATGGATTCCACCGTGACCGATATGCTGCAACGTTTGCAGTGCCATATCCAATACATCAGCATCTTTGGTGACAATATAAGCGTGGAAGAGGAAGTTTAAGCGTGAAACCTCGGGAAACTTTGGCTGCGTGCCAAATCCGCCGTGGTTCTGATCATACCGCCGCTTGAATATGCGTACCGACTCTTGCAATTTGGCATCCGCGCTGCCAGGTTCAAACACAGCCGTTGTAGATTTCTCACTTAACGATTTTTGTATCGCTGTAATAACATGTCTGCCCGTCACCTTTAACTCCTCTTGATTTGATTGCCACTTGGAGGCAATAGTTTTTAGCACTGTAGTGAAGGAAGGCATGCCCCAACTAAAAGTGTTAAAATGTTAGCTTTTATTACTTTTCCATACGCTTGCACTCACCGATCATGGGGCGGGAAGTAGGTGCCCGCCGTAATTGGTGCCAGATCTGGTGTTAGCCACACCGACATGGGCCAGCCGCCACTACCGTTCAACATAAGCACAAATTGCATATAAATTTTATCGATATCTGGACGCTCTTCGCGATCTACTTTTATATTAATGAAATGTTGGTTCATTATCTCAGCAACAGCCTTGTTTTCGAATGACTCATGTTCCATAACATGGCACCAGTGACACGTTGAGTAGCCCACGGAGAGGAAAATCAGTTTGTTTTCTTGCCGCGCACGTTCGATAGCTTCTTCACCCCATGGATACCAATCAACCGGGTTGTGCGCATGTTGCAGCAAATATGGCGACTTTTCATGTATCAAACGATTATTGTGTTTAGTTGTGTCCGCCGCTGCGCCAGCTGTGCCACTTTCTGGTTTTCCTTCAGCATTTGCTGATGCTTTTGAAGTGCTTTGGGAAGCCTCGCTATCTGACATTTTTCGCACTGAAACACGCTTAGTGTCGCAATCTAAACTATTGTATTTAATAGGGATTTTAAATATGTTGCGTTTAATGACATTTTCCTGACATTGACATTAACTCGCATGTTACTACTACTTACTTATCGCATCCAAATCCAAGAATACTGCTTTTCGCCGATACTACACAACTTGTTCGCCTTGATACCGTTGATGTGGTTGTTGCGCCAGTTGTAGATAAAAGTTGCTCACCTGCTGTTGGTGCAGACGTACGAGTGATCGTTTTGCCTATAACTTTACTTATCCATCTTAGATGAAGAATGTTATTCAACATAGCAGCAACAGATTACAAAACAATGCTGAGCTTACAAATAATTCTCGGGACCACGTCGTAATCACGCCTAGCACAAGTAGGAATGAATGATGTGTTCTACGTCCAATGCCTTTTGCGTAGCTGCTTTGCAAATTTTAGGTAAATGTTGCTGTTGGTGCACAACCACCACACATTCTCAATGAAAAGAAGATAGGAAATGAATGGCGTAAAGAATGATAGTGGACAGTGACATAAAACTTGTTGTTGGTATTTTTTGGCGCCTTTGTTGTTATCAACTAGTTTATTTTGCATTTTGTTGACGTCTGCCATTTGCGCGTTGCATTATTAAATTAACTTAATTTTGGGAAAAATGTGAATGAAAACATCAGAATAAATAGCAGTCGTAAAGAAACGCCGTAATATTCCAAAATAAAGAGGGTACATATGTATTTGTTTTTGAGCTCCGTTTTAAGTAAGTATGTAAATAAGAAAAGCAACTGCACGTTTTCCTGCTGTGTTTACAAAACACTAGCTTTGTTTCTTTACAGATAATAGTTGCGTTCGACAAGCAGAAAATTTGTAATAGTTTTTGCAAATTTTTACTGGATGGCGTTCGATAACGACAAAAAAATATCCAACACAAAAAAAATGAGAGAGCACTAGTTTTTACCATGATAAAAATATATATATATATATATATATATATATGTATATATATATATATATATATATATATATATGTTTTTATCATGGTTTTTACTTCCTGGCGAACATTGAACGTTCACTTTCCTTTTTTCTTCCATGGAGCCAACAGGAATTTCAGTTTGTTTGCAAATAAAACATAAACAAAGTCAGCTGGTGTGTCTTCTTCTTCCGGTTTTTGCAAGTGATAGCTAATTTTCTGTTCGTTTACTTTTTTGCTTTTTCTTCTCTTTGGGAGAGAATTTTCGCTTACGCTCTTGATTTTGATTGTTGGCTGGTGTTGGCTAATTTTGTTATCGAACGCAACTAATTGTCACCACGATGCACAGTGTTTCGACTATATGGAGTCAGGTGGAAAAATGTCATGGTGACAGTTGATAAAAAAACAGCTAGGCTTAGAGAAGGAAAGGTAAAAGGCATAAATACAGAATTTCAGAACTGTAATCGATTCTTTAAATGTTTAAGGTATTTATCATTTATTTGGTATTTTCCTATTTTTCTTATAAAAAATTGACTCGGAAATGTATGTAGCTGTTAAGGGTTATTAGTAAAAAAAAAAGTGTGATTGCCGGTTCGTCAGGTCTTGAAATTGGACGCATGTTTTAGAGAATTTTATGAACTTTTCGAATATATAATTGGATCTTTTCGCGCGATTTTGCAAATATATGTCATTTTTGATTTTCTTAATATTCATTTTCAGCTTATTTTTGCGTAATTTCGCGAAAAGAGTTTTTCGTACAATGGAAAAATCACACCAAACATTGGGAGAAAAGAGAATTTTTAGACCTACATATGTAATTTTTAAGTAAAACCGTTGTTTTCTGAGAGTGGAAAGCGAGAAACAAAAGTTTACCGAAAATACATCACATTTAAAGTCATTAAGTCACATTTTTTGCGAGTTGTAGACGTTATAGTGATCCAATCTTCCCCGTATTTTATATTTAGGGGTTTCTAATAAAAGAGAGAGTACAAACTATATTTCATCTAAATCGGATGAAATTTAATGTTTCCGCCCACAAGAGTAGAGGGCGTGTCAATTATCCTATCTTTATCAAATTTCATAATTCCCTATTCCTAAGTAAAACTAGAGCATATGTCAAGTTTCAGCGAAATCGGCGCAGGTCTATCCAGAGATAAGTTATTTTATAAAAATGCCATATATTCACACACACAATTCAAAATTCAAAAAATAAAAACTTTTACTATTGTTAAGTGTCTAATATCTCTAATCTTTGTCTGAGCCATGTCTACTCCTTACCACTTACTTAATGAATTCTGACTACTTATATTAGTAAGGACAAGACGTGGATTAGACAAGGATTAGAGACATATGACCCTTAACAGTTGTAAGTGTTTTTTTTTTTTAATTTTGAGCTCTGGCGTTATTGCAGAGGACCATCGATATATGTGGCATTAATTTAGATTTTTTTCTTATCTAGGAAATACAATTATTATTGATTTGGTGTGTCATTCAGAAGATTTCATCAATGAATAGCCGTAGCGAAAAGGTACGAAAAACGATGTAAATATATATACTTTTAATACATTTTACAACCTTTAATAATTAACATGCATTAATAATAGTGTGGTAATAGCAAACAAACTATTTTGTGTTATAGCTTTTAAAACCTACATAGGCTAATTCACATCGAGCCAAGATTTAAGGACATATACATATGGGCATTCCCATGGTGGCGCACGTGACAGTCGTACGATTTCAATGTGATACAAAAAAGGAATACCATTTGTTTTCTTTAACTTTTTTGGGCCATTGTATAGCACATAATTAGCTCTATATTTAACCGAAAAATGAAATCAATCGAACTGCTTGGTCCTGAAATATAAACATTTAAAGAGAGGGTCGTTACGTGACAAAAAATGGAAGTTGATTTTTTCTTTTCTTACAAAATCGCAAAACTCTGCGAATTGTGGATGGCTATTTTTATGAAACTTATTTTAATATGATTTGGAACAATTCTAGTTGTTTTTAGAGTTTTTTGAATTAATGCAAATTGTTTCAATTCTCTTTTATAACCCCCAAGTGTGAAACGTGACGTGACGTGGCGTCACGTGACATAAATTTCCATCGTTATATTTTTGTTAATATTGCTTTTAAATGAATTTTTAACGCAAATAAAACATGTATTTTATGTAGAATATACTTTATATTTTGACTTCAGCGCCAATTCAGGGTCAATTTATTGGAAATCTATGATTTATTAGGTTTCAACCACATACGCCAAATTCGAACCAAATCGGACCATAAATACGGTTTTTCGAAATATCTCGACAAATCGGCCCGTAAATACGTTAGATATAAAACTTTTATTTTTTTGTCGTGGTGGACCTTCCGCTGGAAACACCCATATATAAATAAATATATATATCCATGGAAAGATACTCAGTTGAACAACGTGTAAAAGGGAATCGAAGATAGATACGGATTTAAAAAAACCCACTGCAAGAAAAAAATTTGCATTCACAGCGGGTCACTGTTTGATGTGATGTTTGGGCAATTGGAGTCGGCGGGCCGTACTTCGGTGGAAATTAGTCCGCTAACACCAGAGATCTTCCCTTAAACTCGTAAAAGCCTCGTAAACCTCTTAAAGCTCGTAAATTTACGAGCCTCGTAAAAAAACTGCCAAAATTTGTATGGAACTCTATTTATTAGCCCCTCGTAAATTTATGAGGCAAATTTGATGCGCAAGCGACCTCGTAAACTTCAGTGTTGCCGAGTGGCTGAAATTTTTATACTAAAATGTATGATAAAATAATGAAAATAAGTGAAAAAATTAATACGCGAATAAAATGAATGAATTTCATCAACTAACTGTATTGACTTAGGTATTCTGCTAATTTTCGGCATTTTTAATTGTATTTTAGCAAAGAGTGATAGAGACAAATCAAAAATTGCTTCACAAAATCCTGGTTGATCTGTTATGGAACGTTATCGTGACATGCTGATAAACTTTTTATGGACTGAATGATGATGGATGACATGAACTTGGACAATATGTGGTTTCAACATCACGGTACCACTTGCAAAAATGGGCACGAAAGAGTCTTCGGATATGCGAACATCTGCGGTCTTATTGAATCACCCTATATTATAAGCACAACTCACCATGCATTCTTCAATAAAAGCAACAACGAATTCAGAAGGTGCAATCGCAATAGTTATTGGTATCAATTGAAAGGTGATTGAAGAAAACATAATTTTTAATATTTTTTTCACCTATAAAATAAAAGAGTTGCCAGCTGTTCAAAAATTAATTTTAAAATATCAAAAACAATTTAAAAACTTTACACATAAGATTAAATAAAAAAATCCATCTCATGCTGAAACAATAAAATTCTTCCTTATTCAGATTAATTACACTGTGCAAGTTGAAAATTTAGGCAACGGTTCTGATAGTTGATGAAGGCTCCAGGTTTCGAGATAACGGTACTTTGAAATTTGCTTAAAATTTAAGTTTTTGTAAATGAATCTCTCAGTTTTAAGATAATTTTAGTAAAATTTTGCACGTCACTGTTTTTTAATATAATTTTAACTATTTCTATAACATATATAGTTATTTAGAAAAAAAAAGTTAAAATTTTCAATTACCATTACCTCGGAAATTTGATCCAATCCGGCAAAACGGGGACCTCATTGAAGGCCATTTAAGTACGATCAACTATCAAAACATCTGTTGTATATAAAAAACAAGAGAGATTTGATAAATATCGCAGATGTCGAAGGCTGGTCTTTATAAATGGAGATACCAAAGACTAAATCTTACACCTTTCATTCATTGTCATTTTTAGAAAAACGCTCCCTGCTTTTTTTGTTTTTCTTCAAAATTTCTTTTAGCTTCGATGAAAATCTACTGATAAAAAGTTTTATCTCATTGGTGACTCTTCGGTGATCTCAGAAAAATCGTATTTTAAGGTCAAAACTTTACACAGCATGCTATTTTTGTAATTTTTTAATTCTTCAGCCATTATTCCAAAAAAAAACTCGGTATTAAGTAGGAATAATCTAAAAAAAATTATAAAAAAATAGTTGTACAGAATTGTGTGGAAAAAACTATTATATTTAGAACCTATAGGGCCACATCTATAATATATACATATAAATTTTAGACTGGGAAAAGGTGGGGACGTACTACTTTCACACTAATAAATGCTAATAGTTGCAAAAAAAGTTTTAAATTTAAGATTTCGACATATCTTCTTAACTAATAAATAGTGATAAATACAAGATAACATAGAAAACATATGGTACTTACCATGAACGAAAGACATAAGATCACGCGGGAAGGAAAGAAAGAAAAAAGTTATTTTCAAGCTGCCGAAATCTCGACGCCATCTTTGTTGTAAGAAGTAAACAACGAAGAGAACGGAGAAAACCGCGAAATTGTTGAACGCATGAAAAATCATTTTTATTATGAAAATTCTTCTATAAATCATGTCGTTGTGTTAAATTATTCTTTATCTTATGTGTACACACGTTGTCACAGGCGAAAATGAAGAAAATTGCAGTAAAAAGCCACCACCAAATTGTAAACAACGAAGAAATGTAAACAAACGGCTAATGTCAAAATCGTTAAACTTTTTTCCTAAATGCGATTCTAACGGGCTACTCTCCTGCCCGCGTGATCTTGTCTTTTTGGTTCATGGGTACTTACCTTTGGCTTGCAGAGCCATCACAAATATGAAAGTAAACATACCTCTATCAAACAACGGCATGCAAAATAGCAATAAGTCCAGATCATGAAATTAAACAATACGCGTGAGCATTTTTCTAACAAGAACAATTAATTACTTATCCTTGAACAATAATCATGCAAAAATTTTATGTAATTCATAATGGGGGGGAATATTGGTAGTCATTTTCAATAATTCTCTGATACAAAAATTCAATGTCGACTTTTGTCCAGCTAGCTTGTTCTATTCGAATCACTGTGCAACTGTAGGAATAATTTTTAAAATCGTTTATTTATTTTCAAATATTTATCATTACAAATATAAGCATGAAATTAAAAACACTTTATTCGCAAGAAAATTACTTCACAAGCCCATTAAAAATGCATCTGCATATATCGCACACAATCTTCAAAATTACACGTTCGTGAGAAAATGCGAAAAACTATCTTCCTAGCACATGCCAATCATATGGGCAAGGGAGACTTTACTTTAGGTTTTTTCAACAAATTATAACAAAAATATGCTCCAGCTTTTGCTGAAAGATAAACAAAATCACCTGTGTACATTTTTAGTGCATAATTTCAAAAGTGTAAAATTTTGAGTTGTGTCACTTTTTGAAGATCGTGTGCGATATGTAAGTAAGTACATACATCATTTTTTGTCACAGTAATTGGCAAATGCACAGGAAAATACAAATTTTATTGCAAATATACATAATTTTATTTTCTTTTGTGTTAATCGCTAACATTTACATACATTTCTTAAAAATATATATTCATTGCATTTTTCTTTTACGGTTTGAGTTTTCTTAAAATGTATTTATTTATAGTACAGCTACTACTTCAATGCTAGTACATATTTTGTTTTACTAGTATATTGAAGCATAACCTAAAAATAAGTTGCAACAATTCTTAAGTCACTTGAGAGAAATTTGTGAATTCTTCTTCTTCTTATTGATCTTCACTTGAATGCATACGCATGCCATATATTCTTGCCATCTACATATTTGAGGACAGTAAAGTCCACTAAAAGGGGTTTTTATGTAGGTAATTAATGTGCGCGCCGCGCATGCGCTTTGCAGTTTTTACTTAAAAATTGTATTATGATATGGACTAACAGACATAAAATATATATTTTAAAATCACATATTATACAAACAAGAGTAAGTTTTTATTATTAAATATGTATGTATTATAAATTACATTAATTTTTAAATAGTTACTGCATTAAGATGTGCTTTCCTGAATGCTTTTCTAACTAAAATTGCTTGTATTGAGTTTGAGCTCTTTTTATTATTTTTATTTATTTTAATTTTTATTTTTATTTGAATTGCTTTATAATGCCACAGTTAATTTATAGTCGCTAGCTACCTATTAAATTTACATATATTTACGTTATACATATCCGTATACATTTTAAAATATTTAAAGCTTAGCACCCTGTTTGCAGTGTACTAAATTTTGCAAAATTTACAGATTCTATAAAAGAAATCCAAACTAGGAAACCCCAACAACTAAGTTTGGTGCAACTTTTTTGTTTTTTATTTTAACTCGCCGATGGCCAAAAAAAAAGTCAATGAAAGCTTGCCCGCTTTTTCCGTCGATTCTCACACTAAGCTTTCAACTCGTTGCTGTTGAAGGCATGGAAAATCACTCCGCTTGGTTAGCCGCCGCCGTAATAACCTACTTGCATACATACTATAATATCTACATTAATCCAGTTATGTATGTGAGTGCAGATCTAAAATCACTTCGTTACAAGCTGCAGTGGAATTCTGCCGATCGCAACGCTAGATTTTCGTCGCGAAAATTCTCTAATTTAAAAACAGTAGCGCCTAAAAGTATACAACAGGAAAAGTAACAGTTACAGTCTCTAAACAGCCAAAACTGACAGCATGAGGGGCATGCAACTAGATGTTGCATGTTGTTAGGCGCGCCTGTTTTTCTTTTGGAGATTTTTGGCAATCAAAATTAGCTTTTGTGAATATTGTTATCTAGCTGCTGAGCTTCCCAATCGTTCGTTCGCTTAACAATCACTTTGAATGAGCGCCTCACTCAGCGCGTTGAGTTGTTCTTCGCCACACTTGATTTTGTCCGCAATATCACGTGTATCTGCTATCAATTTCGCTTTCATGTTGATAAAATAATCGAAATCGGCAAATTCATCCGTGCTGAGATTTTTCTCGACAATGCCAACAACACTGCTGCCGCGTCGATCGATGTCCTCTTTAAGGCGCTTCGCTTCGGCAAGTTGATCGAGCAGACGATCGCGTTTTAGTTCGAGTGATTTCTGGAAAAAAAGAATAAAAATCGGTTTAAATGTTTGTTGTTTGCAAACTTTATTGAGCTATGAAGGTGAAATATGAGATTTTCGAAAGCACTGTGCCTAGAAGTATGCAACCGGAGATGCTGAAACGAAAGAGCATATTGCCGACATCCTCAAATGAAGCTTACACATTTTATCAGGAGTGTAATTTTAATTTTTAAAATTCAATATTTTGACGAAAAACAACAAACTCAACGCCATTCGTAAGAAGGATGCTTGTAAAAAAAACCAATCTCGATGCTACATAACCTCAAATATATATTCGTTTTTGCAGAAACCTGAGCCGCTAGAGCAGTTACATATGTAAGTCACCGGATTTGGATTCAGAAAAATACAGGAACATCGATATATGTTTGTATGTATCATACTTTAAGATCCGACTGTAAATGTCGAAGATTTGAAATTTCGAAAATATATTGCAAAATTATTTCAGACTCAGATGTTGACGGCGAACTTCTTTTTCTGCCACAGCCTAATATACATACTTCTTTCTAATTCCATTTCATCCCATGAAAAATTCATTTCTTCTTTCTTACCTTCTCAGCGCCACTCTCAGCCGGCACAGCACTCAGACTATTCTCTATGCGTGCCAATCGTTCGGAGAGGGAAAGCAGTAAGCTCGTAATTTGACCCACATCATCGATGTAGGTGCGGCACTTGGTTGCTTCTATTGGACGCACTTTGTCCGTCAGCTTGCTGACCAGACTGTTACCCAACTCATCGTTGAGTTCAGCTTCCTCTTTGAGCGTCGTTTGCTCCTTGTTAAGTACGCGTATCTTACGATTAAGTTGCTTGATAAGTTCATCCTAAAAAGAGAGAAAATCGTTATAGCATTCCAACCAAACTGCAACAACTCCTTATCGCACTTACCACTTTCTTCTTGAGCAAATCACAAGTATCCGTTTCACTGTCGCCATTGGCCAGTAATACCTCCACTTCGGCATACTGTAGTTCTACTGTTACTTTCTCCTGGCTGTCACGTCCTTTCATGCGCAGCAGCGTCGAAGTGCCAACATCACGTTTAGCCGGTCGTAATGGCACATTCGGATTATAAAGGTTACTAACATAATCCGTGGCTGATTTGAGTGCGGGCGGCGCTAAGATTTGCACCAGTTTCTCATTGGACGCCAAGAGTGTAGCTAGTTCTTGTGACATGGCCTCACAGTCAATTTCGATGGGATGTCGTTGACGTGGCTGCAGCGTTATGCGCTGTTGCTGAGCATCTTCCTTGTTGTGTGGTTGCTCCGTGAGTCGTGTATGCTCCTCGGTATCGTTGGCTGCAGACACCAAATAATCATCATCGGTTTGCGACGCTGTCTCTGTGGTGGATGGATTCACGCGTAGTATAATTTCGCTACGCTGCATAAGTTTTAAACCATCGGTGCTGGAGTTCATTTGCGTGATTTGTGTTGCAATGAGGTCATCACTTGTGGTATTTGTGCTGGCGACGGTGGTGGCTGATTGAGGTAGTGTTTCGCTTGTTGCTGGCGAGGTTGGCGAGGAGTTTGAATTTGTGTGTGTTGTAGGAGTTTGTGCGACGCTTGCATCCGCTATATTGCTTTCCTCCTTACAATCAGCTATAGTTTCTGTGAGCACAGTATCAACTTGTTCCTTTGGCTCTTCAACACTAGCGGCAGCAGTGCGCTTGGGACTCTCACAGCTTTCGTCCGCTTGCTGGAGTATGTTCTCTGTTGCCGTTATGGGCGTTGTAGGCGCTGAATGCAGTGTTGTCCTTGAGCCATACATGCCAATTAAACTGGTTTCAGACACATGTGCCGACATCAGTTTCGACTGCAGCTGCGTTATTTTCTCGATATTTTCGCGCAATGAGTCCTTGCGTATAACAGATTTCACTGGCGCGATGGGCGACGTTGACAGCGTAGCTGTGACCAGTTCGGCGCGGAATATGCGTCCTTCACTGCCGCTAGTGCTGCCACTATCACTGGAGCTGCCGAGGCTAGAGAGCGGCTTCATCGAAATCAGTTGCGGTTGATGTCTGTTCGGACTACTGAGGCTACTCTCCGATTGCGCGGGCGACAGCACTGTGGCACTCTCGCTGAGTAAGGCGGCTGTGGTCTCCTCTAGCGTCGGCTCCAACTGTTGTGTACGCTTCAGATCCATTGTGGATTGAGACATGAATTTAGTGGGACTATTCTGGGCGTGGTTGGGATGATAAAAACTACCACTGTGCGAGTTATTGTGTACGTCATACGACTGAGATCGACTGTAGTTGTGCGGTTTGCCACCACTGTTTGCAACATTGCTGTTGTAAGAATTCATGGTTGGCGTTGAGTAGCGGTGCTGGGTGGGTGGATATACGGGATAACAATTGGATGAAGCTGGCGTCTGCAGTTGCTGTTGTTGTGGCTGCTGCTGCTGCTGCTGTTGCTGCTGAGGTGGTGCAGAGACAGTTGATGAGTTTAAGTTATTGTTGGAAGCATAGCGTAGCGGCGAAGCATTGGCGGAGGTCGGCGACGAAGGTTGCGGTTGCAACTTTGCGCCCAATGGCAGAACATCTGGCAAATTGTTAGGCATTTTGCCATTATGTGCATTGAGTATGTCGTAGGCAGCGGGCGGCTTTGTGTTCGCCACCAAGTCTTCGTTTGAGGTGAGCGTGAGCTTGTAACTGCCATGATCCGGATCCAAGTTGTTGAGCTTCTCGAGACTCTGGCGGGGCAAGTACGAGGCCTTCGAGTTGCATCTGCAATGAAAGAGAAAAATAAATGGAAATTTAAGAAGGAGCTGCTAAGTTGTGCGACTAGGTGCATATGTATGTAATACATTAGATGTATTAGAGTCAACGGCAGTGAAGAAGACCAACAAATCCCCCAACATATTTATGTCAAATTGACATTTTTATTTATACTATTTCTCTTGTAGCTTGTTGGTCAGTAGGCGGTAGGAGTGTGTGTAAAAGATGTTTACCACTTTGCTAATGGCCGGTTGGCTGTTCACTTGGCGCTGGCATGAGTGGAACGCGCCAAAAAAGGTCGTTCCGTGCACGCTACTAAGCGTGCAACTAGCCGTCAACCAGTCAACCAGTCGTTTTACTTTGCTTTGCTTGTAAGCTAACTTCGTCTTCGCGCATTCATAAATTGCTTGTGTTCACACGCTCTCGAACCGGTGGCCAAGTGTAGGCAATTGATGCGTGTCTAGTACCCGTTGGCCGTATTTGGCTTGTAGTTGCTTAGTTAGTCGGTTAAATGTTTGCTATTCGGTCCAAACTCTTACATACACGGAAGCCCTGCATCCCAACGCATTTAGACAATCAATTTGTGGTTTTTAGTTGACAGCGACATGCACGCGTACACATGCACGTATGCACGGGTATGAAATGAAGAATCTACAGTTACTTAGTTTGGATATTTTTGGACATGCAGCGGTGAGTAGATTTTTAATTAAATGTGATTGTAACTGTATAAAGCCCACTCATGTCAGTTGTCATGTAAACTAAAAGTTGTCATCCTTAAAGATGTTTTAATTAATGTTCGAAGTAGTTTGTAAGCATTTGGTTGTTAAAAATTAGGTTTCGGTTAAAAAAACTATTACACAACATAACGAATAGTAAATAGCGGATTTTAGCAGTAGTTATCGAAAATTATAAAAAAAAGCGAATGTTAACACAAAGTTTACGGTTTTAGGTTATGCCAGTCCCCAAAGTAAAGTACTCACTTAGTCAATTAAGAGCTAATCCTTTGTGATACCACATTCTGAACGGCACCCACTACTTAATCGATAAAACGTCTTGAGCCGATTTTGTAACCACGAACTCGGATAATCTCAATGCCACTCGGCTAATCTATTGAAAACGTGCGAGCCCAAGTATTTAAACCTTAGTCTCGCGAAAGCTGGGCAATCAAGAAGTTAGTGCTGAGGTGATTCCACCTCGACATCTTCCAGGTAACTGCGTTACCATGAACTGGTTTTCGCCCAGCGCTCGCTGAGCTGACATGAGAATACATGAGTGCACCACAGGCGATAAAGGGAACCCCCAGCTGCTCTTTGTGTGGTGATACTGCTTTAAGAGCCCCTTTTCTAGCCAATTCGTCAGTCACACAGTACCCCGTAATGTCGCTGTGACCCAGAACCCAAATGAGTCTAATGCAGAAGTATTCCTACGCAACTAACTAAATAAATGCACACTCCTCAACAGTGAATTCTCAGCCTTCCAGTAAGGAAGTTTGAACTTAATGTTAATGGAAAACTCTCCACAGAAACCCTGGGATCCAGTTTCGATCCAGAATGTCCACTTCTTAAGCCGATCTAAGTGCCAATGTGGGCTGGTCCGCAGTGTTCCACCAATACCAATTAAGGCAGCCCGTTGTAGGCGCTCCAACTGCTTAGCTAGTATATACTTCTTAAGCGAGTTCTATCAGACTAGGGCTCCATAAAACATAATAGTCTTGAGTACGTTCTCGTAGAGCCAATATACATCTTTGGGCGAAACACCCCATCTCTTTCTAATAGCTCTCCTACAGCAGTATAAAGACGCCTTTCCTGCCCTTTCCTCGATGTTCGGCATCCACGGCAGTTTGCTGTCAAGAATCAAGTCCAAGTACTTGGCCTTGTCAGAAAGCTGCAAGCGCTGATCTGCTAGAGTGGGAAGACCAGCGGTAGAGATTTTCTACTTTCTAATGATAAAGACCCATTCTGTCTTACTGGGATTGAAGGCGAGGCCACTTCTGTAGCTCAATGACCCTATTAAAAAAAAAAGATTAGTTGTAAGCAGTGATGGAAAATCAAAATTTAAAATTGTGCCGAATTTCTCCGGAAAATTGTGCCTAAATGCAGGTCAATGTGCCAATAAATTGAAAGTCGTCGATAGGTACCATTTCCTTTACAAAATATATTTACAGTACTTATTGCGTGTAAGAGAACAGAAATCTATAGGAAAACCTTTCTTTAATGCAACAACAAAACAACACAACAACAAAAACCATAAAAATGAAAGCTCAAAACATTCTACGAAAAATTTTCACGCAAATTTAGAACTTTGTTGTCATATATTTTAGAAAACTTTCGGGTATATAATTTTATAGTCCATTAAATTTTAGGATTACAAAATGCCAGTGCGGCTAGGAATTCGAATTTTTAATATTTTTAATTTTTTTTTTTGCATTTTCTTTATACATATTGGATGTACAAAAAGTTTGAGAATGGAAGAAAAAGTGCAACACCTTCAACGAAAAAATGTCTCAAAAATCAACGCGAATTAAATGAATTATAAAACTGTATAGCCGAAAGTATGTCTAGTTTTCAAAAAAAAAAAAAAAATACGTGTAAACAAAAATCATCGCTCAATCACTAACCCGGAATTACGAATTGTAAAAATATAAAGCATCAGTCCTCCTAAAGTATTTGCAGATTACAATGTTCACCTTGCGCAAACTTACTTATAACCAGCATTCAGGCATTGTTGCGGATATTGGACAGTTCCATATGCTGTAGTCTAGAAATGAGAAGGCCTGATTTTTTGTATATTTACATTTTTGGGTAAATTAGAATTTAGTAAATTTGTTCATTTACCCTGAGATCATTATTTGTACATAATATTATAAAGCAGTACTTTTTTTATATCAAAATCCATGTTATTCTTATCATCACAGCGCGAAAGCCGTAACGGCTTTTAAAATTGCAGTATCAAGGTGCTCTTTCTTAAATCTTGGCAAAATTTAACTTTAAATTTCAAAGCATTTTTAATTTCATTTTCTGCAGAATTTTCTTTAGTAAGAAATATTTCGGCTTCTGTTCCACAAAGAATATTCAAAATGGGTCAGTGATTATTTAAATCTAAAGTGTGTATTAAATGATATTTAATATTTGCTTTAGAGATGAAATTGCGACAAATATGTTTAAACAAAAATCTTAAGGGTAGATGCAGAGCTTGGAAGCCAGCTTCTTCTGCTTATGTTTATATTATTTATCAGTTTAAGCTAATCACGATCAAATGTAAAAAAAAAAAATTATTTTTAATTGCAGATTTCGGCAAAAATAGTGCCGAAAATCAATCGATTGTGCTTAAGGTGCCTGCTGCTTTCGAAAGGGCCGAAAATGGCACAATGCACACTCATTTTCCATCACTGGTTGTAAGTTAGAGAAAATAGACGACATACCGACATACATATGCGCGCTTGTAAGAAAGCTCTAACAACAACATTGAAATGTCATCAGGAGTGATCGCTTAAAACTGAGTAAATATATTTATGAACTGCTTTGCTTTTGTTTCATCTCTTCGTTGTAACAGAATTTCATTTCTGAAATCTCCATGGAAAAAAGTAATGGTGTTGGTATGTCAGTTGCAATTAACGCGAACACCAATCGTTGTTCCGGGATTTTCATAATAGGCCACTAGCTATTACTATGGCAGCTTGATTAAGTGACACAATGACTGTGAGATTTCTTGTTGAAGATTTCGTAAGAAATATGTACATACAGACATGCATATATGTAGTGCATAATGAATGCCCAATGGCAGGCGCAATCTGTCATCAAGGAACAACATGAAACCGGTTGTTTTTGCGAAGTGCACATACGCTTTTGTTGCAATCTCAAGTAATTAAATTAAAATCGCACAATAATTCACAACAAATTGCCGCAACGCGCCAAGATGCAGCATCAGTTAAAGAGGGAAATTGATGTGCTGGCGCAGATCAAGTTGCAATGTTGATCGTTGACACCAGATGGCCTACAGTACTGCAGCTGGCGGAATTGCCGTTTTTGCTTGATTAATTTTATTTTGGTTTTGCTTTGTATATTTTTTTTGTTTAGGTTCACGCCGCGGAGGTGTGCAGGTGATACCATGTGTAGGGGGGGGGGCGCAAGTACATGGTAAATAAGCCAAAAATGTGGTTTAAACAACGGATTGCTCTTGGCAACTGGTATGTACAGCGGAAGCGCTTGTCGACTGAAAGCCAAAAAAAAAAAAAAAAATTGGAGAAATAAAAAGAAAAAAAAAACAGGCTACGTAAACATGAACCGGTATGTCACCGATTGCGTCGACATTGAGTAGGTAAAATTGCATTGCAAGCTTCGTGCCACAGATAAATACGAAGTTTTGATTTTTTTTGTCACGCATTGCAAACGTACACACACACACACACACACACCTTTTGCTCAGGCATACCCTGTAGTCCATTTTCGGTAGGCTTGCACGTTTATTTGCATCATTTGATGCAGGTAAATGTGTTAAAGCAGCCCACAGCGCTATGTCGCCGATATGTCGCCACTTGATCGGTGCTTGTCATAATACTG